TTTGGATCACCCCTCCAATTTAAAAAAAATTGCCTTACACATACCGAGCCTGCAAGGTAGAGGTGATGGTAGCGCCGTTGACTTGGAGGGAGACAGACACGGGAATGGTAACACTTGAGGGAGGAAAGACCAGAAGTTCTGTTTTGGACAGGTTAAGTTTAAGGAAGTGAGCAGCCATCCAGTTGGAAATCGCAGAGAGGCAGTCAGACACACGAGTCAAGATGGGCGGAGAGAGATCAGGAGAGGACGGGTAGATTTGCGTGTCATCTGCATAGAAATAACGGAAGCCATTCTTCTTTTAAATATAGTCTCCTCCTTTACTGTGTTGATTCTCTTTATGTATTTAAATGTTTCTATCATATCCCCCTTGTCTCGTCTTTCCTCCAAGCTATATATGTTAAGATCCTTTAACCTTTCCTTGTAAGTTTTATCCTGCAATTCATGAACCAGTTTAGTAACCCTTCTCTGAACTCTGTCTAAAGTATCAATATCCTTCTGGAGATACAGGCTCCAGTACTGCGTACAATACCCCAAGTGAAGTCTTACCGGTGTTCTGTACAATAGCATGAGCACTTCCCTGCTGGTCTATTACATTGTCTGCCTACCTTTAATTCATCTGAAATGATTACCCCTAAATTCCTTTCCTCAGATGTTGACGTTAGGACTCTATCAAATATTCTGTACTCTGCATTTAGGTTTTTACGTCCAGGATGCATTATCTTGCACTTATTTACATTAAATGTGAGCTGCCACAACTCTGAAAATTTTTCTAGTTTACCTAAATCATTTGCTGTTTGGCTTATCCCTCCTGAAACATCAACACTGTTGCATATCTTAGTATCATCAGCAGTAAGACATACCTTACCATCAAGACCTTCTGCAATATCACTAATAAAAATAGTACAGATCCCTGAGGTACCCCACTGGTGACAAGACCATGCTTCGATTATACTCTGTTAACTACAACCCTCTGTTGCCTGTTAGCCACTGCCTTACCCATTCAACAATATTGGAATCCAAACTTAAAGATTGCAGTTTATTGATAAGCCTTCTATGTGCAACAGTTTCAAAAGCCTTACTGAAATCTAGGGAAGCAATGTCTACTGTACCTGATCTATTATTTTAGTTACCCAATCAAAAAAATCAATAAAATTAGTTTAGCATGATCTTGAAGATCTCAAGTAAACCCATGTCTCTGATCTTGAAATCCATGTGATTTTAGATGTTTAACAATCCTATCATTTAACATGGTTTCCATTACTTTCCCCACTACTGAAGTAAGGGTTACTGGCCTTTAGTTGCCCGACTCCTCCTAACTACCTTTCTTGTGAATGGGCACAACATTTGCTAACTTCCAATTTTTGGTTAAATAAATCTGTTAATGGTTTTGCTAGTACACCACTAACCTCTTTTGATGAAGTTAGGTGTATAACTCACACGTAACAAATTACTCATTTGTCTTTTTTTCTAACTGAGGCCCCTTGCCTTAATTTTCATCTGTAAATACTGAACAAAAATAAAAATCAGTGAGGCAGTCAGCTAGACCTTTATCCTCTTCTACATACCTTCCTTCTTTTGTTTTTAATCTAATCCTTGTTTTAATTTCCTTTTCTCATTTATGTATCTAAAAGATGTTTTGTCCCTTTTTTTTTGACTGTGCTATTTTCTCTTCTGTGTGAGATTTGGAAGCTTTTATAACTTGCGTAGCCTCTTTCTGCCTAATCGTATAGATCTGTCTATCTTCCTCACTCTGGTTTTCTTTTACAATTACTAAGTGCTAACTTTTTGTTTTTTTTACTATGTTGGCCACATTTGCAGAGTATTACAGTGGTTTCTTAAATCTTTTGCTTTTACTGACAAGCCTAATGCAATTTTCTGTTGCCTTCAGCAGTGCAACTTTTAAAAATTCCCATTTCTCTTGGGCTCCATTTAAACTGCTCTAGTCTGATGATGACTCCTTTACACATATACTAATTTTAGAAAAGTCTGTTTTCCTAAAGTCTAAAACTTTTGTTTTTGTGTGGTGTGACTCAGTCACTGTTCTTATATTAAACCACACTGACTGATGATCACTGGATCCTAAATTTTCACCAACAGTAATATGTGATACCAAATCTCCATTTTTCAACACTAAATCTAGTATAGCCTCTTTATGATTTGGCTCCTCAACAACTTGTTTTAGAGCCAATCTCAGTAGGGAAGTTTCGAATATGTGTGCTCCTGGCACAAGCAGCTATTTTGGTTTTCCAGTTCATCAGGAAGATTAAAGTCACCCATGAGGATAACTTCCCACTTCATTGTCATTTCACTTCCTTAATCTCTGAAGGGAGAAGCTCTTGTTTGCACTGTTTGAGCTTAGAGCGTGCTTAAGGGACACTATAGTCACCTGAACAACTTTAGCTTAATGAAGCAGTTTTGGTGTATAGAACATGCCCCTGCAGCCTCACTGCTCAATCCTCTGCCATTTAGGAGTTAAATCCCTTTGTTTATGAACCCTAGTCACACCTCCCTGCATGTGACTTGCACAGCCTTCCATAAACACTTCCTGTAAAGAGAGCCCTATTTAGGCTTTCTTTATTGCAAGTTCTGTTTAATTAAGATTGTCTTATCCCCTGCTATGTTAATAGCTTGCTACACCCTGCAAGAGCCTCCTGTATGTGATTAAAGTTCAATTTAGAGATTGAGATACAATTAGTTAAGGTAAATTACATCTGTTTGAAAGTGAAACCAGTTTGTTTGTTTTTTGGGGGGTTTTTTTCATGCAGGCTCTGCCAGTGATAGCCAGGGGAGGTGTGGCTAGGGCTGCATAAACAGAAACAAAGTGATTTAACTCCTAAATGACAGTAAATTGAGCAGGGGAATGATCTATACACTAAAACTGCTTTATTTAGCTTAAGTAATTTAGGTGACTATAGTGTTCCTTTAAGAGGAAGCAGCACAGGCAAGTTAGTTTATCAAAACAAAAAATTAAGGCATAACATCGAGGGGGAATTAAACTACAGCTTTTAAGGGAGGAAGGGGACATGCACGCTCCCCCTTGCAGGCACTACCTGCAAAGGTGAGGCTAATTAATTCTGTTGTCAGTGTGCAATACGCGCTGACAAGAGACTTTTTAAACAGTATTGACATGAGAGAGCCTAGAGTTCTGGGCATGTAATTAACACATAGAAACATAGAATGTGACGGCAGATAAGAACCATTTGGCCCATCTAGTCTGCCCAATTTTCTAAATACTTTCATTAGTCCCTAGCCTTATCTTATAGTTAGGATAGCCTTATGCCTATCCCACGCATGCTTAAACTCCTTTACTTTGTTAACCTCTCCCACTTCAGCTGGAAGGCTATTCCATGCATCCACTACCCTCTCAGTAAAGTAATACTTCCTGATATTTTTAAACTTTTGTCCCTCTAATTTAAGACTGTCCTTTTGTTGTGTTAGTTTTTCTTCTTTTAAATATAGTCTCCTCCTTTACTGTGTTGATTCCCCTTATGTATTTAAATGTTTCTATCATATCCCCCCTGTCTCATCTTTCCTCCAAGCTACACATGTTAAGATCCTTTAACCTTTCCTGGTAAGTTTTATCCTGCAATCCATGAACCAGTTTAGTAGCCCTTCTCTGAACTCTCTCTAAGGTATCAATATCCTTCTGGAGATACGGTCTCCAGTACTGCATACAATACTTCAAGTGAGGTCTCACCAGTGTTCTGTACAATGGCATGAGCACTTCCCTCTTTCTACTGCTAATACCTCTTCCTATACAACCAAGCATTCTGCTAGCATTTCCTGCTGCTCTATTCCATAGTCTGCCTACTTTTAAGTCATCAGAAATAATCACCCATAAATCCCTTTCCTCAGATGTTGAGGTTAGGACTCTATCAAATATTCTGTACTCTGCCCTTGGGTTTTTATGTCCAAGATGCATTATCTTGCCCTTATCCACATTAAATGCCAGTTGCCACAACTCTGACCATTTTTCTAGTTTACCTAAATCATTTGCCATTTGGCTTACCCCTCCTGGAACATCAACACTGTTACATATCTTAGTATCATCGGCAAAAAGACATACCTTACCATCAAGACCTTCTGCAATATCACTAATAAAAATATTTAAGAGAATGGGTCCAAGTACAGATCCCTGAGGTAACCCACTGGTGACAAGCCCAAGCTTCAAATATACTCCATTGACTACAACCCTCTGTTGCCTGTCACTCAGCCACTGCCTTTCAACAATATTGGAATCCAATTGCAGTTTATTGATAAGCCTATGTGCAACAGTGTCAAAAGCCTTACTGAAATCTAGGTAAGCAATGTCTACTGCACCACCCTGATCTATAATTTTAGTTACCCAATCAAAAAAATCAATAAGATTAGTTTGGCATGGCTCAGATGCAAATATCTCATTATGTGCAGCATTTTAAGTAGAAACACTGCATTTATAGATTCTTACTACCATAACACTTATAAAAGCAGAAGTGGTCATGGGGGTTTAAATAATCCCTTAAGTTTTAGGGGGAAACTATTAAGCACACTTATATTTAAAAAAAAAAAAAAATTGTGCTCAACGCGAAAGATTCAAATATGCACATGCTGATCAGCCACAATACTAAAAGCACCTGCCTAATATCTTGTAGTTCCCCCTCATGCTGCCAAAACATCTGATGCTTTGAGGTATGGATTCTACAAAACCTCTGGATGTGTCCTGTGGTGCCTGGCACCAAAACTTGTGCAGCGGATCATTTAAGTCCTGCAAGTTGGGAGATGGGGCCTCCTTATATAGAATTTGGAGGCCAATGCAACACCTTGAACTCTGTCATGTTACTAAAAACATGACTCAACAATGTTTGCAGTGCATTATACTGCCGAAAGAGGCCACTGCCATCAGGAAACACCATTGCCGTGAAGTGGTGTGTGTGCTCTTGAACAATTTGTAGGTAGGTATCTTAATCTGTATTTATCTGTCTCTCATGGTCCTACCAGATATAAAAATCTAAATTGACACAATAGGCACCCAGACCAATTCCTCTCATTGAAGCAATTTGGGTTAAAGGCTCTTGTCCCAATAATCCTGCAATGTAAAACCATGTTTACAGTGCAGGGTTAAGGCAACCTCTAGAGCAAGCATGTCAAACAAGGGATAACATGGGCTTTTTTGTTTTGAAAAGTACAGTATTAAAAATTTAAAAAAAAAACAGCATTCCCACCCCCCTCTGCTAAACCCCAGTCCTCTATACTAAACCCTGGCCCTGGTTAAAAAAAAATAGCCAACAAGCAGACTCCACTTACATTTCCGCTGTCAGTATGTGACTAGAGTCCAGTCTCTGGTATACCCCCAATGCCACCGCCCGCACCTGGTGCCAAAAGCAGATCCTCACGCTAATCCTTGAAGCCCTGTGAAGGTGGCGCACGTTGAAAAGAAAGAGGTATGTGTATTAAACAGGTTTTTAACCCTTTATTCATTAGAGTGGCTGCAGACCTACAGTAATAAGAAGGGGGGACACTATGGCGTTAGGAATACAATTTTGTATACCTAACGCTTTAGTGTTTTTAAATAAAACTCCCTTGGACATTAGAGGATAGCTTGAGTTCTGGCTAAAGCCTAAATGGTCATGTGGACACAATGTACAGCTATAAAGTGAAAGTCATGGCATAGTAAAGGAAGTTAGGGTCATAGATAAGCAATGGGGGAAAAAGCAGGAATCGAGTTACAGCCAAGTGCTAACTGTAGCCCCCTGCTCTAACAATAGCTTAGAAGGCTTATGCCTCCATAGAAGAGAAGGCCGTTGGTAAATATGCTACTAACAGCTGAGGTAATCACCTTTTTATTTATTTTCTACATTATTTTTCTTCTTTCTTCTATTGAGCTATTGATTTAGGGATGCACTTTATTTTGATCAATTGAGCTTCCAATGTTTATTTATGTGTTTAGTTTGCCTCTCTGATCACATTCTCGGCACTTTCAAAGATTTTCAAAACTCTTAGGCAGTTTAAAAGGACACTATAGGTACCCAGACCACTTCCACTTATTAAAGTGGGCTGGGCCCGTTAGTTTAATCCTGCAATGGTACTTATTGTGGTTATTGAGAAACTGAGCAGTTATACAATTATAATTAATAAAAGTGCTGGTTTCAGGGGAAATCAGCACTTTTATAAATTCATTTTGGACAATCTGAAAACACCATCCTGGCCTTGTACCTTACAGCCAGAGGGCTTCCGGATTCAACCCGATAGAACCATTGTTCTGGGACGAATTTTCAGCAGATAACTTATTACTGACAGTCTACGCGTGGAACTCTGGTGAGTAGAATTAAACATTCTAGTGTTAGAAAATGTTTTCATATTATATTGATCACTGAAGATCGGGAGTTTCCAGTCTTGGCCCTCCGCTACTATACCGCAATATTTCTTAGAATGATGGATGGATACACTGGTTAACAGTGGGGCATGCAGTGCATAGATTATGTATCTTTACATTGTTTAATAAAATTTATAAAGGTTGAGTAGTGTTATACATTTTAATTACTTATCAAAAAAGTAGGGTTTTTTTTCGTTTTTTTTTTTTTAAGGATTAAATAAATCATTAAAACAATACATATAGTGCAAATCTGTGTATAGGGACTTACAATTAAACTACTTTCAATCAGTAAATTTAATATTCGATGTTCTAACTAAAATACCAAAATGCTTTCCAGAAAGTCCTTTTTTTCATATAATTAACAAAATCCAGTCCCACTTGTTTTATTTCAATTACTTTTGTTGTAGACGTTTGTCTCAATCAGGATTCTTCTGTATTCCACCTGCCATGTTTGTGGGGTTAAAAAAAAAAAAAAAAAAAAAAAATCTACAGTATTTTCTTATTTTGTTTTCTACACTGAAAATTGAGCATGCCGGTATGGCATGTTTAAAATACTGCTACAGCATTAGGAAAGGGGCTCTATGTACATCTCTAATTCATTAGCAGTCCACAGGCCACTGTTCAGTGCTCTGCTTCAGTAGTATCAGGTTTCAAAGAGTTTGTTAAAAGCGGTTCCAACTTCAGTAATCATGTCGCCTGTCGTCATTGAACGTCCATGTTTCTGGAAAGCTTGGTGGTTACATTGTCTTGTAAGTGAGCAGGCACCAAAGGCTGCCACAAGGAATGGGTTTTGACTAGAGTAAAAAATAAAAAAATAAAGAGAGAGAAATGGGAGTACATTTTCAAATCACTTTCACTGAATATCCACCATTAATATGACAAAGACCACTTGTGGCTTGAAGAGAGCCAGTTGTGTTAAAATCTTTGTTAACCCCATAGTGACCAGACAGTTTTTCAGTTTTCTTACCGAAGTTAGCTTAAATTTTTTTTGTGTTAAAAATGCAAAAAAAACTGCTAACTTTGGCCAGTGTTTTTGACTAAGTGGCTACTAAAAAAGACTGAACATACACTGTTTGCAATATCTTGGGTTGTCTACTTTTGCAAATGGTATGCCATCATGGGGGTAATTCTCATTCCTTGGCTACCATACAGTCTCAAAGGAAACAATCAGTCTGGGAAGTTTCAATGTGAAAAAATTGAAAATCAAGCCTTAAATTTCACCCTATAACTTTCAAAAACACTATGAAAAACCTGTACATGGGGGGTACTGTTATACTTGGGAGACTTCGCTGAACACAAAATATTGGTGTTTCTAAACAGTAAAACTTATCACAACAATATCAGTGAAAGTGCAGTTTGTGCGAGAAAAATGCAAAAAAATAAAATAAATATCATCGCTGTGATATGTTTTACCGTTAACACTAATATGTGTTCAGCGAAGTCTCCGGAGTAAAACAGTACCCCCCATGTATTGGTTTTAGGGGGTCATGGAAAGTTACAGGGTTAAATACAGTAATGGAGGTCCATGGCTCAACTGTTAGGGCCAAAAAAAAATTAAACACACACAAAATAGTCTCTGCAGTGGAGCCTACCGTTGCGGTTACATTTATTTAACAAAATGCGTAGAAGTTAAAATCTGAATTAAGGATATTGCTTTCACAATGTTAAACATAACATACCTGTTGGAAAAATGCATATACAACCAGACAAAAATAAGTCCTGGACTCAGACTCCCACTACTCCTGAACAGCAGCAATGACCATAGTATACATGAACCTCAATACATACAACAAAAAACAAGTTTATTACCCGAAATCCCTGTGCATATTTAAAAAAAAAAAAAAAAGTTTTTTTTATTTTTGTTTCACTCCAATGGCCTTTAGGTGTAAGACCACCTGCCACGTGAAAGCAAACATCTTAGGTGGGTCCTACACGAACAACTCACCTTGCTTCCTTTAGCTTCAGGCAGTTAGAGGCATTAGATATGGTTTTGGGGTTTTTTTTTGCCTGAAGCTGAAGAAAGCAAACCTCTTCTTAGGTGGGTCCTACACTAATAATTAATTTTGCTTCCATGTGGCAGGTGGGCTTACACTTAATGGCAATTGGAGTGATACAAAAAAAACTCCATTTGTTTGAATATGCATATGGATTTGGGGTAGTGCACAGGCAACTCTTTTCTTTGGAAAACTGCATAATTAACTTGGGATAGCATACCCATTAATTTTTTCGGGTCCAGCAAGAAATGCCCAGTGTACCAAAACTCCAAGAGACCCAGCCAGGAGATCTCCCTGTCCTCCACAGCGGCGGTTACTACCTTCATGGCTGCATACCAACACTGAAAAGCAAAAGGATAAGTGACAGGGAAAATAATTGCAGGTTTGGTAACCAGACTGACCTTATAGTATTAATGAACTACATTAATCATGGTTTCTTTTAATCTAATACCTGCCAAGAGAAACACACTAACAGTCCAATACCAGAGTTGGTAATTAAGCTTGATTAACTGAGATTATGTAATGTCATTAATGAAGAGAAATGGTAGTGTTGAAGTGAAAGGAAAGAGAAATATGATTATTTTATGCAGTACCAACACATTCTGCAACACTACAAGGATAGAAGGGGTATATTTCACAAGTAATTTGCATACAAACGAATACCAACAGAGACAAGTAATGAAGAAGTCCCTACTCAAACGAGCTTACAATCTACCAGGAAATAGTAAAGAAACAAAAGAGGAGGGATTGATGGATAAGATGCCTGTGTAAAATTCAGCTAGTACAAGTGGTGTATGGACGAACCATAGAGTGGAAGAAGAAAGAGTGAGCTGGGAAAAGGAAAGAAGGGTCACTTAAAAGATGGTAGGTGTGACAGACTGCCTAGCACCCAGACTGGGTACCTCCATCAAGCTCGCTCCCTAGCTGCCACAGCTGGGTCTCCTGCCCTGGAACAGTGTCCTTGGTACAGCTCCAAGTGATTAAGCGCTCCTGCAGAGAGTACAGCTGATACACCCAAACACTAGCCCAGACTGAGTGAAGGGTGAAAAGGAACTAATTTATTATGGCCAAGTTGCCTGCTTTTACACACAACCCCCAGCAGGGGGTCTCCACCCAATACAATGCAAGCCCCTTTTTAAAGATCAATTTGCCTGGGAGATAATTGCGTTAAAAACCGGTAAGCTAATTATCTCCCAGTAACAGAGAGGCAAACATAAAACCTAAAAATACCCAAAGCTAGTGTTCGGTTCCATTCGAATGAAGGGAAAGCTGCTAATGGCGGCTGGGCAGGGTTAATGCCCGAACAGGATCTTTGTATATGGCACACAGACCTTGGGCAGGAGGCTAGCTAGCAGGCTCTTCCAGGAGCTTGTGGCATACGCACGTTTGCCACAGTAGGCTTTCCTAAAGATTTGATTGTTTTAATCTATTATCAGAAATGCAAAGCCCAAAAGGAGTTCACAGAAAAGCAATTGAAGGGACACGCATCACTTTGAGACAAGTCTCATTAAAAAGATTTAGTTTAGAATGAGACAGGTGTCATCCTGTAGGCTAAGGGGGGGAAAAAAAAAAATGTTTTACTTACGGTAAATTTATTTTTCCACAGTCCAAGCGACAGTCATGACAGTCGTTATGACTGCCACTTGGACGTCTGGAAAAAGCAGCTAAATATGTTATTTTATATTAAACTGCTTGATATTTCTTATGCTTTCCACTCTATGGGGGACACAAATCTAACCAACTAAGTGTCCTATCCATAGAATTGCTGGAAATTTACATCAGGCATGTCTGACTGTTAGACTTGAACAGTTGGAAGATCTCTTCACCTTAAACAGGCTTCCCTCCTACTGCTACACAAAGCGTTGTCAATGGAATGGTCTGAAACCAAGATGGGTGGGTAAGAAGGGGGAAGGGAATGGAATTTATAAATATTTATTACTTACTGTTCAAAGTTGTTCGTGCTTTGTATTGGTTTGTATACTTTTTAAAAATATTTGTGTGCTGGTTTAAAAAAATATCAAGTGATCCATGTCCCTTTAATGGCAATGAGAGGATAAATAAAGTTATCCGTATAACTATTAAGTATTACACAGCTTGCAAGTGACAATGTTTATGTAAAACAGAAGATGGCCAAGGAAAGTTTAGGGTATCTGCATATTATGAAAAGTACTAGTTTGTATGATCTACATCGTGATGACAGAGAAAATAAAGAAAAAAAATTTCAGCAGTTAATGTAAATGAACACTTTAGGATTGGGAATACAGATACACAGTGCCTTGCAAAAGTATTCACCCCCCTTGGCATTTTTTGTGTTTTGTTGCCTCACAACCTGGAATTAACATGGACTGTTTGAGGATTTGCATCATTTAATTTACAGGACATGCCCATAACTTTGAAGGTTTTTGTTTTTTTATTGTGAAGCAAACAAGAAATAGGACAAAATAACAGAAAAAGTCAATGTGCATAACTATTCACCCCCCTAAAGTCCATACTTTGTAGAGCCACCTTTTGCAGCAATCACAGCTCCAAGTCGCTTTGGATAAGTCTCTATGAGCTTGCCACATCTTACCACTGGAATTTTTGCCCATTCCTCCTTGTAAAACTGATACAGCTCCTTCAAGTTTGATGGTTTGCGTTTGTGAACAGCAATCTAAGTCTGACCACAGATTTTCTATTGGATTGAGGTCTGGGCTTTGACTAGGCCATTACAACACATTTACATGCTACCCCTTAAATCACTCAAGTGTTGCTTTGGCAGTGTGTTTGGAGTTATTGTCCAGCTGGAAGCTGAACCTCCGTCCTAGCCTCAAATCACGCACAGAGTGGTACAGGTTTTTCTCATGAATATCCCCGTATTTAGCACCATCCATCTTTCCCTCAACTCTGACCAGTTTCCCAGTCCCAGCTGCTGAAAAACATCCCCACAGCATGATGCTTCCACCACCATGTTTCAGTGTGGGGATGGTGTTCTTTGGGTGATGTGTTGGGTTTGCGCCAGAAATAGCATTTTCTTTGATGGCAGAAAAGTTAAATTTTAGTCTCGTAAGACCAGAGCACCGTCCTCCATACATTTTGGGAGTCTCCCACATGCCTTTTCGCAAACTCAAACCGTGCCATTTTGTTTTTTGCTGAACGTAATGGCTTTCTTCTGGCCACTCGGCCACAAAGCCCAACTCTATGGAGCGTACGGATTATGGTCGTCCTATGCACAGATACTCCAGTCTTTGCTGTGGAACTCTGCAGCTCCTCCAGGGTTGTGCTTCCTCTCTGATTAATGCCCTCCTTGCCTGGTCCGTGAGTTTTGGTGGGCGGCCGTCTCTTGGCAGGTTTGTTGTGCCATGTTCTTTAATTTGGTTATGATAGATTTGATGGCGCTCCTGGGGATCATCACAGATTTGGATATTTTTTAATAAACTAACCCTGACGTGTACTTCTCAACAACATTGTCCCTTACTTGTTTGGAGAGTTCCTTCGTCTTCATGGCAGTGTTTGGTTAGTGGTGCCTCTTGCTTAGGTGGTGCCTCTGGGGCCTTTCAAAAAAGGTGTGTGTATGTAATGACAGATCATGTGACACTTAGTTGCACACAGGTGGACATCATTTCACTAATTATGTGACCTTTGAAGGTAAATGGTTGCACCAGAGCTTTTTATTGGCTTCATAACAAAGGTTGTGAATACATACGCACATGCCAATTTTCTGTTTTCTATTTCTAAAAAATTGTTTTATGTATATATTTTTCTCATTTCACTTCACCAACTTAGACTATTGTGTTCTGATCCATCACATAAAATTCAGAGTAATAAAACATTGAACTTAAAGGAACACTATAGTCACCTAAATAACTTTAAATAAAGCAGTTTTAGTGTAAAGATCATTCCTCTGCAATTTCACTGCTCAATTCACTGTCATTTAGGAGTTAACCCGATAACGGCGTTACGGCGTTCTATGCCATCCCGCGTTAAGTGGGCTTTAAAGCCGTTGCGGCGGCATTGAACGCCATAGCGGCTTTGAGCCTCTGGAGGTCCACGGTACTCACCTCTGCCGCGATCCTCTTCTGGAGGGCTGCCTGACAGCCCAGGGAGCCCGGCAAATATGGCCACCTATAGCTGGCTGTGGATCTGCCAGCAGGGAGACTGTCTGAAATGTCAGACAGTCCCCCTGCTGGTGGGAAAGTAAAAAAAAAAATTCATTAAACATGTTATAAAATAAAATAGAAATGTATATATATATATTATATATATGTAATGTCATACAAAGTGTATTTTAATATTAATATAAGTACATATATTAGTAGTAAAATACACTTAGAATGACGTTATATATATATATATATATATACACACACACATATATATGTAACGTCATTCTAAGTGTATTTTAATATTACACACATATATGTAATAGATATATACACATATATACGTATAATTACAATAAATAAAATAATAAAATAAATAAAATATTGAAAAACTAAATTTAATATAAATTATATATTCATATGTAATTTCATTCTAACTGTAGTTTGTTATTAATATATATATATAGGTAACAAAATACACTTAGAATGACAATATATATATATATATATATTTCGAATATCCCGCACTCAATTTGCCGGTCTTGTACCTGTGTCGGTGCTACCTCAGCCGTAATGTATACCAATAGAAAAAGAGTGCACTCAGGAGGACTTCTTTGAAGAAAATATACTTAGTTTATTCACAAACGTGTAGAATTTTAAAACGATCAAGTTGACGTTTCAGTCCCAGAAGGACTTTTATCAAGACGGTGAAAAATGGGAAAAGTAAGGATTTAATTATGGTGAGATCAAACTCTGATTGGAGAGTAAAAATACGAAACAAAAAAAGAGGTAGTGATGTCATAGGTGCAATGTCAAAGTTCAGAGAGCATCACCCCGGGTAGGATTTAACCCCGTAAAGTGTGAACTGGTGAAAAGAATATGAAATACGTGAGCAACCGAGATGTAGAAAATCCACATGCTCAGGTACCAATTAAAAAACAAGGATATAAATAAAGGATCAAAACGCCACCCAAGGTACAGATCTACTAAATGTCTAAAAAGGTTACGTACAAAAAGAGTATGATTAAACTAGAGCTGGGATAGCCAGATCCTATAGAGGAATTAGAGTTGCAAGAGGAGATATAATCTAATATATATAGTATATACAAAGCCACACAAGAGGGTTAGATAGTATCATATTCTAATTACACATAGTTCTAAATACATGTAGCAAATCTACTGGGATACAGAACACATGGTAAGAATACTCTAAGACTAAAGATAAACATAACCATAAATATGTGAAAAAAATCATTATCTTTTCGGAATGAAGCAATTCAGAGGATTAATCTCATTCAATCCTCCTGAATATATTGTTCCCAGTGTGAAAATCCAGAAAGCTTCTCTTTGAAGGAGCAAATTGTTTCTGTCACCTCCCCTCAAAGGGATCGGGACATGTTCAATGCCCATAAATTTCAGGGTTGGCAATGTGTGTCCCATTTCAAGGAAATGTTTGGCTATGGGGGTAGATGCAATACCACTAGAGAGTGCTATTCTGATAGTCGATCTGTGTCCCCTCATTCGTTGCCTTAAATCATTCGATGATTTCCCAATGTACATAAGACCACAAGGACATAAAATACAATAAACAACGTGTGTTGTAGTACACGTAATCCGTTGTCGTATCTTGTACTCTTTCCCTGAATGTGGATGAAAAAATTATTTTCCTGGGGTCATACTCTGGCCACAATCTGACTCGGACCTACCTGTCTCATCTGAACCACGGGACATTGTGAGAGAATTACAAAAACTTAAACAAAGACAAATAGATCTTGAATTACATGCCATTTACTTATCAGACTATTATCGCATGAAAAAAATTCCAAGGGGCTTCTGGATTAAGAATGTTCCAACTATTGGAAGGAATAACCCTGAAGTCTGTCGTAAGTGGATCGGCATATTGAACAAATGTTCCTTGGATCTGATGCTGGTCGTTATTGAGGAGGTAGGTCGAGAACTAAAAATTACTAAGTTTAAAATTTCTGATTATGAAGTGTTACATTCTACCACAATAGCTGCACCTAATTGTGACTTGTTGATTCAAAAATGGAAGATTTGAAACAGTATAAAAACGACCTTGTCAGATTTAAGAGAGAAAAACTTGCAAAAGTCCAGGCTGACTACTCTGAGCATAGAGTATATAGGTGGTTATCTGGAGAGAACACCAGACCTACATATAGAACATACAGGCCCCGCATTAGGAAACCTATTGCTTCTACAGTAGACTTCACTTTGGGCGAATCAGTGTCTGACTCTGATCAAAGGATTTCACAGAGGGAGAGAGCATACTCCAAAGATTCGGAACATATTGATTCATCTTTTTTAGAACCAGGACTAGGTCTGGTGAGAGAACCGACCAGTGGGAGTCATTTGAGCATAGCGCACCCTCCAAACTTCATCATTACACCAGGAGGGGGCAGAAAGGGAAGAGGCACTGGACACATATCATTAACCTATCTGCTAGAACCCTCACTACAGCAGAGATTGTGCTATTAAAGAGGGGTCTCTCATTTGTTCCTACATCTAGGATTAATAAATTTCAATGAGAAATTGACCAGTTTAAATTTAATAGAAAACTCCATTTAGCAGACCACTTTAAAAACTCGCATCAGAAAAATCAAACTAAAGAGGAAGGCACAGAAAGGTTTAAATTGCGCAGCTCATTTGATCCCCTTACTTCCAATACTACAGTAAAAACGTTTTCACAAATCCTTAAAACTAACACCACGGAAATAATCAATACTAAAAGTAACTCTCCAACATCTCTAAATCTGAAAGGGAGGCTCTTTACAGCTTAGCTAATGATATGTCAATCATTATACGACCTGTGGATAAGGGTGGCGCTATTGTTATTTTACAATATAAAGACTATAGGGCTGAATTCCTGAAACAACTGTCTGATACTAGGGTCTACGAATATACTGAGATTGACCCAGTTAACGAATTCAGTAAAGTGATTGAACAGACACTACCGAGGGGATTAGAATCAGGCTTCCTCACCACAGCTGAATTTGAATACTTATTTGAAACGCATCCGAAGTGTCCAATTATATACACATTGCCAAAAGTACATAAAAATCTGAAATGTCCACCAGGCCGTCCAATTGTGTCTGTGATTGGTGGTCTCTTGGAACCCATTGGAAAATGGTTAGACACCAAATTCAAGAAACCTGTTATGTCATTACCTACCTATGTGAAAGACTCTGCCCAATTTATAGCCGCCCTCAGCTCTATTGAATTACCTCCACAAGGAGTTTACTTGGCGGCCATCGATGTGAACAGCCTATACACTATTATTCCCCACAAAGAAGGAATACTAGCAATGCGACAGGTTCTGCTACAATATCAGGAGAAAATTGAGCCCCCCATTGAATATATCCTGGAGTTATTAGAACTATGTCTTACACTCAATTACTTCAGGTTCGAAAAATCATTTTACATCCAGATTTCGGGGACATCTATGGGTGCCCCTATGGCACCCATGTATGCTAAGGCATATATGCCTATATATGAACAGAGATATATTTTACAAGAATATAGCCAGCATATTTTGAAATGGATATATCGATGACGTCTTCATTATCTGGTCTGGGGAAAAACAAATATTACTCAACATGTTACAGTCTCTTAATCACCTTGATTTACCTGTTAGACTTGCATATCAAATCAATAATAAACAAATGGACTTTTTGGATCTTCGTATTTTTATTGAAAACAACAAGTTGGGTTATACTTTGTTTGCGAAAAAAACTGATCGCAATACTTTACTACATGCCACTAGCCACCATCCTTCCAATTTGATAAAATCTCTTCCGGTATCACAATTTGTAAGGGTACTGAGAAATAACTCTGACTCCATTAAGGCTGCTGTACAGGTACAAGAAATGTTTGAGAAATTTACCCAGAGGGGATATTCAAGGTACACACTGGAAAGAGCATACTCAAAGGCATTACAACTATACATCGATGGACCTATGACTAAGAATAAACAAACTAGACTAATTTTCCCTCAAACTTTCCATTCACAATCTCGTGACTTGTCAAAAATGGTACGGGATAATTGGGAGATACTTAAGATAAGACACTTCCAGTGATATTTCAACAAAACTCCATGATCAGTTATAGGAGAAACAGGAACCTAAGAGACTACTTGGTCCATACTGATATACAAGCATCAAGACGTTTTATACATCAGAACCCTGGTTGCTTTCGTTGCTTGAAGTATACAGCTTGCAACAATATGACCCCAGGAAAATAATTTTTTCATCCACATTCAGGGAAAGAGTACAAGATACGACAACGGATTACGTGTACTACAACACACGTTGTTTATCGTATTTTATGTCCTTGTGGTCTTATGTACATTGGGAAAACATCGAATGATTTAAGGCAACGAATGAGGGGACACAGATCGACTATCAGAATAGCACTCTCTAGTGGTATTGCATCTACCCCCATAGCCAAACATTTCCTTGAAATGGGACACACATTGCCAACCCTGAAATTTATGGGCATTGAACATGTCCCGATCCCTTTGAGGGGAGGTGACAGAAACAATTTGCTCCTTCAAAGAGAAGCTTTCTGGATTTTCACACTGGGAACAATATATTCAGGAGGATTGAATGAGATTAATCCTCTGAATTGCTTCATTCCGAAAAGATAATGATTTTTTTCACATATTTATGGTTATGTTTATCTTTAGTCTTAGAGTATTCTTACCATGTGTTCTGTATCCCAGTAGATTTGCTACATGTATTTAGAACTATGTGTAATTAGAATATGATACTATCTAACCCTCTTGTGTGGCTTTGTATATACTATATATATTAGATTATATCTCCTCTTGCAACTCTAATTCCTCTATAGGATCTGGCTATCCCAGCTCTAGTTTAATCATACTCTTTTTGTACGTAACCTTTTTAGACATTTAGTAGATCTGTACCTTGGGTGGCGTTTTGATCCTTTATTTATATCCTTGTTTTTTAATTGGTACCTGAGCATGTGGATTTTCTACATCTCGGTTGCTCACGTATTTCATATTCTTTTCACCAGTTCACACTTTACGGGGTTAAATCCTACCCGGGGTGATGCTCTCTGAACTTTGACATTGCACCTATGACATCACTACCTCTTTTTTTGTTTCGTATTTTTACTCTCCAATCAGAGTTTGATCTCACCATATTTAAATCCTTACTTTTCCCGTTTTTCACCATCTTGATAAAAGTCCTTCGGGGACTGAAACGTCGACTTGATCGTTTTAAAATTCTACACGTTTGTGAATGAACTAAGTATATTTTCTTCAAAGAAGTCCTCCTGAGTGCACTCTTTTTCTATTGGTGTGTATATAAAAACAAATATCAAAAAATTACCGGCACTCTTGGGTTTAATTCATCCAATTTATTGTAGGTCAATTCAAGCGAAGTCAACGTTTCAGCTCCCGATCGGAGCTTTCATCAGGACATAAAGAGCATAAAACATTGCAAATAACAAAAGAACGCTACTAAGACTAAGTGGCTACTAAAAAAGACTAGACATAGCTCACTTTCAATACCTTGGGTTGTCTACTTTTTCAAATGGTATGCCATTATGGGGGTAATTCTCATTCCTGGGCTACCACACCGTCTCAAAGGTAACATTACTAATCTGGCAAATTTCAATTTGAAAATGAAACGTTCTATATTTGACCCTGTAACTTTCCAAAACACCATAAAACCTGGGGGGTACTGTTGTACTCGTGAGACATCGCTGATTACAAATATGTGCATTTTTTTGCAGAAAAACCTAACAGTATTATGACATTCACAGCTAAAATGTCAGACGATTACAAATGTAAAAAAAATAAAAAATCTTATTTTCTCACATTTTTTTTAAATTGTATTCATAATAAATTATGTTCCATATATGAATAGTTAATGATAAATTAAAGCTCTGTTTCTCCTGAAGAAAATGATATATAATAAGTGTGGATGCACTTAAAGGACCACTATAGTGCCAGGAAAACATACTCGTTTTCCTGGCACTATAGTGCATGAGGGTGCCCCCACCCTCAGGGTCCCCCTCCCGCCCGGCTCTGGAAGGGGGAAAGGGGTTAAAACTTACCTTTTTCCAGCACTGGGCGGGGAGCTCATCTCCTCCGATCCTCCTTCTCTCCTCCCATGCGGCTGAATGCGCACGCACGCATTCAGCCGGTCACATAGGAAAGCATTCATAATGCTTTCCTATGGACGCTGGCGTGCTCTCACTGTGAAAATCACAGTGAGAAGCACGCAAGTCTGGCTGTCAATGAGACAGCCACTAGAGGAGGGGAAGGCTTAACCCATTGATAAACATAGCAGTTTCTCTGAAACTGCTATGTTTATGAAAAAATGGGTTAACCCTAGCTGGACCTGGCACCCAGACCACTTCATTAAGCTGAAGTGGTCTGGGTGACTAGAGTGGTCCTTTAATGTGACAGCGGTGAATTACAGCTGAACAGACATATAGCGCAAATTCCAATTTTTGTTTACGCTTTGTTTTGATCAGAACGTGCACTATTGACTCCGTCCTGAAGGGGTTAAATCACTTTGTTTCTGTTTATGCAGCCCTAGCCACACCTCCCCTGGCTATGAATGACAGAGCCTGCATGAAAAAAAAACTTGTTTCACTTTCAAACAGATGTAATATACCTTAAATAATTGTATCTCAATCTCTAAATTGAACTTTAATCACATACAGGAGGCTCTTGCAGGGTCTAGCAAGCTATTAACATAGCAGGGGATAAGAAAATCTTAATTAAACAGAACTTGCAATAAAGAAAGCCTAAATAGGGCTCTCTTTACAGGAAGTGTTGTTCATAAACAAAGGGATTTAACTCCTAAATGGCAGAGGATTGAGCAGTGAGGTTGCAGGGGCATGTTCTATACACCAAAACTGCTTCATTAAGCTAAAGTTGTTCCGGTGACTTTGGTGTCCCTTCAAGGCTGTAATGTAACAAAATAGGTAAAAAGTCAAGGGGGGTGAATACTTTTGCAAGGCACTGTAGCTATGGCTGTGTGACCCATAACATTTTGTCCCCACCCCTATATGCACAAAAATGAAAATAAAATAAGTAAGAGAGTCTCCCACGACAGGTGGCGTGGATGACTGGTCAATCCAATGCTCCTCATAGATACATGAGCTATATACATTTCATAACCACTCACAGGCACAAATGTAAAAAAAAAAAAAAAAAAAAACACATTCTGACAGTGGTGTGCAAGATATGGATGTTGAAGAATCCTATTAGCAGTAATGCCTTAAACATTAAATTGATTTGGTGCTCAGTAATGTTGAACTAATTAGAACACTAACCTTTTTCTCCATCTGAGATGAGGTCACGTTCTCCTTTCTGAACAATTGTTATATTGCCCATTGCTTGACTAAGTCTTAAAACACTTCCGTGATGGTCACTGCTATCCACAGGCTCTGTGAGCTGCACAATTAAAGAATATAAATTATTTAGTACATTATAGGGAGAGACACTATGCTAAAAGTATATTTTTACAATTCTCACAGTTTTTTTAATTACAAACATAAAATATATGTCTAGACAGAACAGCGCAACAACCACTTCTTAGAACAAAGCAAAATAAAAATAGAAACTATTTTTAATCTTGAAACTGAAGTGATTTAAAAAAAGAACCACTGGCTCTAATCCCCCCAGTTATACCCAATACATGCATATCCATAATAGAATCTAATTCTTTTACATTACAAATGTATCTTCACTTACACACCACGCATGTTTCCTTAAGGGGCCAGTCTCTGCACCATAGCATTGCGATTTATTGAAAATCAATGTATGGTGCTTAGAGCACCCCAAATCCACTTTCAGTTCTGCAAATTGCTTATAGCAATAGTGTTTTGGAAAAAAATATAATCATCATTACTGCTACAAGAAATTTCAGAACACTTAGTATAGACAAAAGTGATACAAGGCAACCCACGAGTATGTGTGTGGCATATGCAAACTAAGGAAGGCTGTCCCTCCTCCCTGGAAAGAGCATAGCCCTTTCCCTAGGTTCACCAAACTCCTTTCCATAGGAGCATAAGTTCACTAAATAGTGAATTGGGTTGTGAAACTTATTGCAGCTGCATTAAGTTAGAATGCAATTCTACGTGATAATTGCAAATTTTGTGAGGAATAAACTACTTATCATATAAGCCACTGTTCATGAGTTAAGAGGAGTTCCCATAGACAAGAAAGTGATCCTCCTGGTTGGAAAGCCTCATCTAGGTGTGGAGTGGTCAGGCAGGTCCAATAAACAGGGACAATTTGCAGGATACAACACAATCTCCCCCCATTTAAAAGTTTATTGAAGACATTTTCAACAATAAAGTAAAAAAACAAAAAAAAAAAACAACAAATATCAATACTGGAATAATAGAATTGATACATGTGAAAAAGGTGCCATAATATATAAACATGCAAGCAAATACCAAGATAAATTTCAGAATTAGTTTCCTGTGGTAAATAGAGAGACTTTTTTCTTTCTTAAAATTTTCCATTTTTGGCAACAGTTAACATGCCCTTTTGTGTTGTAAAATTATCACACACAATTGCTTACTGAAAGTAAAATTTCATCCCCAGCTATTATAACATAGCTACGTACAAACATAAAGAAACAAATATACACCTGTATTGAAGTGCACACTTTCTCTTCATAATAATTCTAAGTAAGAAGGCATTACCAATTCTATGTACAGCAGCTGAAAAAACTGCAAAAGGAGGTGGGGGGTTGGGAATAAAAACCTCACGTGCCTTCAACCAATCTTTTGATCGAATATTTTTTTTTATGATAAACTCAAAACTGCATCCAGTAATTCTAGGCACATAAACAGAACGTTTGAATTTTGAAAGTCAATAAAAAGATTATTAAACAAATGCAACAGAATTGAGTGTATTGTATACACCAGATAGCTAATTTCACAATATATTCTTAGTCCCCTGCTGGTGTATGTAACATTGCCCTAATTCTGCTACATCTGGAGATATAGAATGCTTACCATAGCTTCATAAAGCCTGCTGAACTCCATAAAATTTGGGGTGAGCACAGCTCGTTGGTAACCTTGAATAATTGTAGGTTCCTGGGCAACAAGCCAAAGTCCATCCTAGAACAGCAAAATACACTGGATTATGGTTATAGGCTATAAATATGCTGTTGCAATTCTACTAGTTTGATAAGGATACTTACTGCATCAATCACAATAGGAATGCCTTTTGATTTAGCTTTTTCAATAACGCTCTGTAAACAAAACAGAAGTTCAATAAATAGTTTGACTCATTGTGAGTACAAAAGTATGAGCACAAAAGGGAGTACAAAAACCAACACCACAATTTGTTTTACGTTTAAGTTTTTTTTTTTATCTTCTAAAACTAAATCTAAAAAGTTTCAAGATTACAAATCATGAAATACCGATATTGATCAAACCTCTATATATCTTTGCCATGCAGCGAAAACACAACCAAATGTTATGTGAATGTTTGAAAACCAAATCTGTGTGGCTTCAAGACAACTATGACATATTTAATGAAAATAATTTTTAAAAATCCAGTTTTTGCTTTAGAACATCATAAACAATGTCCACTAAAGTGAACAATCCTCTTTGTTACATGTAGTTTGCAATATATCGTCAAATATAGCCCATACTGTTTGAGAAGTCCAATATTTTGTAATGGCAGCAACATTTAAGAGCCCTCACCTGAAATAATCTTTACAGGAATATTTCATGGCTACATGTAGCCCAAAAAACATACAAAACTATTTTAAACAACACTGTACTGATAGACGCCTAAATCTCAGCAGAAATTAGAGAGACGCCTAAATCTCAGCAGAAATTATGCTTTTCACCATAACAATGAACTTATGACTTTTTCAAAGATTAATTTACTTACGTTTCAGTCATGACAAAGTAGGTGCAAGTCTCAAAGATGTCTGGCCTCATGTGTTTCTAATATTGGTCAGTTATCAAAATATTTTTGCATGCCCATGGCAAAGGTTTCAGGAGAAAATAGTTATATTGTCTTCAGCTTGTGAAATACCCATATTAACTTTAAAGGGACACTACAGGCACTCAGAAAACTTCAGCTCATGGCCTGGTGCAGTGACACTGTCAGTTTAACCCTGCAATTGTTACAATTGCCGTTATTGATAAACTGCAATAATTACTTTGCAGGGTTAACTCCACCTCTAGTGGCTGTCTACAAGGTTATGTGACTTTTGATTAACGGAGGCTGAACATCCTCATGCTTTGCACGAGGACATCAAGTCAGCTAAAAACCACATAGAAAAGCATTGATACAATGCTTTCCTATGGGGTAGTCCTAAGGCAAGTTTTGAATTCCTAGCACTACAAGTTTCCCTTCAATAAATAATCTACTCCTCAAGTTTTCACAAATATCTCCAATATACCAGGAACAGCCAAGGGGTACACATTCTTTGGCACTCTAGATGTTGTGGACTACATCTCCCATGATGCTTTGACAGCATTATGGTAGATTTACTCCAAAATATTTGGAGTGCCGAAGATTGCCTACCGTGCTTGGTTAATGAACCAGAAAGCTGTACTTGATCAATCTTTTTCCTCAATACAAACATACTTACAAAATAGCAGATACAGAAAGGCTTTAAAATGCCTTTGGCCTATATCTTCACAGCACCCATGATTAAACCTCTTAGTTTTACGTCTAAATCAATAAGTCTCAGGACACAAGTTCGCAATTGGCACTGTACTGTTTAAACTATTCTTTAAATACTGATGTTTTGTATGGTTACCATGAATGATGCAGATTTCTTTTCAGGTACATAATGTATTATTTACTGTATAATGTGTAAATGTAATATTGTTAAACTAAATAATTACAAAACACAATCTGTGTAAGATGGGTTAATTTTTAACTCACTGCACTATTGTGTGCTGGCTAAATGTTAACAATCAGGGATAGACAGGTCACTGATAATACCTTGGTAGTGGTTGTTCTTGCCAGTCAAATGGCTCTGACTGGTTGGTCTCCAAGCAAACCAATTAGAGCTCTCGGACTCACAATTCAAAACTTCGAAAGGTGCTTTTAAAGTCCTTTCCCACCTTGATTTGTCAGTCTCCAAGAAGCCCTCAATATGCAATGATGGATTTATTTTTTGGTACTGCAGTTATTTTTCCATCAAGTTTTTTTTAATGTGATTTGTGTCTTATTTTCCCTTTCATTTCTAATATTTGCATTTCATCTTATGGTTTTTCATTTGTCCTTTTTTGTAGTTGAAAAAAAAGATTTGAAAAAAGAAGAATTCTGAAACCAAGTATGGAATTTTTAGTCTACAAGTATTAGATTTAGGTATGATTAGATTTCTCCCCTTCATATCATACCCATTGTACAGCGCTACAGAATTTGATGGCACAATATAAATAATAAAATAATAACAAATATCAGGGTGAGGAGCGGTTAACAAGGGGCTAATCCACCCCTTCTGGACTATTTAAAAGCCACTACTTGCCAGTCATGGGAGGAAGCCAGAGGGCTGGCACATCTCCCTGGAATCCACCACCGACAAGAGTGGACACAGGCACATTTCCTCTCTTGTTTCTATACTATAGCTCCTACCTACCTCCCATATTATGTTAAGAGCCCCCACTAGAGACCACCAAGTTACCAGGACTTTTCAGCGAATTTGTAGCAAAAGCTGGTCACTTGCTAGCTTAATTAATTGCTGGAGTTCACCATTTAGTAGATGTGCGTATATGGTATAAGAACTGTGTTAAAGATTTACTCCAAGCTAGTTGTTAATCAAGGTTACATCTCCTCCACATAAATTAACAACTACTGGTTCTACTGTTGCAGTATGAAGTGTCGGACCAGAGGGACTGGAAGCAATGCCAAAAAGGGGGAAGAGTGTGATAGCTCTATGTTAAAATGCAGGGAGAGCTAGACAGGGGGAATTGTGCAAGGAATGAAAAAAAGGAAGGAACAAGCAGATTACTGGACACGGTGGTTGGAGTAACCCTTTCAACTGCCCTATAGTTAGATTAGTGTCATGTTGACTTCATAGGTTGGTTTGTTTGTTTTATACTTTGACAGTGAAAACCAAGTCAGACACAGTTCTTGACATTCACAGTCAAATGTCCTCCGATTCTTTTCATAGAAAAGGGTTGGATTCAATGCACTTTTCATCCATAAAGCTTTGATTATTTAGTTGTAAAAGAGGGGTGAGGGTGCAGAGGTGACAGCAAATAAAAATTACAGTGTCAGGAATACAAATATGTTTAAATTTGCTGTTGAGGTCTCCACCCCACCCCCCCCTTGCCACCTTTAAAAGGTCATATAGTCAACATTTTTCCAGCGAGACACAGGTCTACTCTTGGCTGACCCCGTTCTGCCTCCTTAACGGAGATCATCAAATTTGATTAACTCAGCCAATCCAATGTGCTTTCTCATAGGAAAAAATGCTGCGTGCCCCAATCAGCATCTCTTCTCTGAAAAGACAGTGTTTACGTTAAAAGGCTTGCAGGGACAGGTAGTAGCAGACACCAGAACAACTACATTAAGCTGTAGTTGTTCTGGGGACTATAGTGTCCCTTTAATGCTGGGGGAGATATATATATATATATATATATATATATATATATATATACACACACATATAATATGAATATATAATGCCTAATGCCTATGCAATGATAGCTTTTTTTTATTGGATCAACATAAAATACGGCTAATACAAACTACGATAGATATTGAATAATACAACAAACAAGTTAACAGGTACATGCTGGAAAACAGTCTTCATTTAATTTAATTATTTTATATTTTTTATGTAGCATGGATATTCATGGAGCTTTACAAAGATTTGTGATTCAACAAAGTTGGGAATAAAATCAAAATAATAAATTGGAAACAGGTTATAAAAGGCTAAGATTCATGAGAAGTAAAAAAAGTACTGTAGCATAAATGGCCACGAGCACAACTCTTGTAGATGATTTATTCCACCATGTAGCAGTAGGGTAACGTTTCAATCGAGAGGATGTTCATCAACCACCAGAATTGCAAATATCACTGTGAGGCTAATCATTCATAAATACCTTAGCATTTTCCAGAATGGAATCAGCTCTCCCCAACCCTGGTCCTACTACAATTGTGTGTAGTCGTGGGAGCCATTTTTCAATCTCAAGCACAGCGTTTGGCTGGTCACTGTGTTAAACAGTAAAAGCTTCAGACATTACTAAGAAATACATGTTCCATAATAAACACTGCTTTTATTAATTTTTTTTTATTTTAAATGTATTTCCTATAGAGTATGGTGCAGAGCCAATGGTGTGCCTAATTATACCAAAGCAGATTTCCTTGTACAAATACCAGTAGCATAACAAAAATCAACAGTCAACTTGCTATTTTAACTACTGCTTGCTAATTTAACTACTGGATTCTATCATCCGTCCTTGCAAAAAGTAAACTTACAGAACGGGATGTACGATAAGCTCTGGACTGTACGACTTTATCACGGTTGCAGCATCTTTGGTACAAAATACATGGGATAAATCAGCACCCTAAGAAAAAAATAGAAAATGAGTAAAGCTTTTCGGAAAACACTTAAAACATGCCATGAACAAGTAGCATCAACAGTGCAGAACGTTTCCTCAGAATGTCTGTCCAAAAATGATTGTGTGCTCATTTTGTAACACATAGCTATATATTTGTCTAATTCATTCAAATGTACAAACATGAACATTGGGGAAATTTTCTTGCAAATGTCAGCACAGATGATAGTTGGAGGGATAAACATACTGAGGTATGCCATCAAATGTTTTTGGTAATAAATAAATAACTTGGTAGCTGTTAGCATTTAAAGAGTTACTCCAACCTTTAAACGTATGACACATAAATGGGTTTTTTGTTCTTTAGTTTTAAAATAACGTTTAACTACTGCTCAGCATATGCCCTCCTGACATCTTGCAATTCAATTAAAGAATTATCAGAGCCTTTGATTGGACCATTTAACTGGCTCAGAGCGCATATATAAGCTCTAAATTGGGAGAAGGGAGAGGGGAGGAAAGGAAGGGGAGGAAAGGAAGGGGAGGAAAGGAAGGGGAGGAAAGGAAGGGGAGGAAAGGAATGGAAGGAAAGGGAAGGGAAGGAAAGGGAAGGAAAGGAAAGGAAGAGGAGGGATGGTGGGAGAAAAAAAGAAAAAAAATTAGTGGACAGGATAGAAAGGTGGGAGAGGAGACAAGATTCTGCAGAGCCTGCAAGAGGATAATCAGAAAAATTATGTCGCCAGGGCCTGCTGAAGACAGACAGATTTGCACAGAATCGACATTTGTCAGTTCGCAACAGAATTCTGGGTGCCAAAGTCAACTGTGTTACTGGTCGGGTTTTAAGCAGAAACATGACCATTTCTAAAAGTAGAAGTGGTTGTGTTATTTGGAGTTACTCTTTAAGTTATGATAATTAATGGGTCTGATTTATTAATGAAATGATAATATAGAAAACTATATACTTTAGTGAAGTTTGAAAAGGTGTCCAGCTTATTTTGGCCTAGAGATTGTAAATGCCATAAATGTTACAGTTGTATGCTTGAGTTTCAGAAATGAGCAAAATGCACCAACCACTTAAGCATTTTCAATCTAAATCAATAAAAGAGAACTAACCCTCCTTTGTGATAAGTGGTTAGGCAAATCCCTTTATATTACAATGGTATTGGTGCATCATGTGCCACTGGGTGTTAACATTAATGGTTTTGAGCTGAAAAGCAAGCGCAATGCATTGCAGACAATGACAGTCTAAATCAATTCTATCTGCTATCACGACAGTTATGATTGTAAGAGGAGAAAAACAAAACAAAAGGAAGAATATAACATTAATGCAAACAGGAAACCAAAGAGTTATTTAGTTAACCGACTCCTTAAATAAATGTACACACAGCAGCACATTATCAATAAATAAATCCCTTTCCAAGTGAGTTTGCCAAGAGCTGCTGGAGGAGCCTGCTTGTCAGCCTCCTGCCCACAGACTATGGGCCCTGTAATATACATTGAAAAAGTCTCTATTCGTGCAATTGGGATTATATGGTTCGGTTCCCAAACAGCTGCAGAACCAGAGACCACCCGGGAGCTTGTTAAGCCTAATTGACAGTTTGTAACACTTTCCACCACAGTGTTCTAAGTGTTCGTCTGGGTGGCCGCTATTTGCATGAACGACCAGGAGGTGGCGGACATTTTGGTCGTCGAGTTCCTGGAACTGTTTTCCTATACTTAAACTCCCGAACACCGCTGGACTTCCAGGATCACCTGCGTTGGGTCCTACAAAACTTAGAAGGGCACTGTTCGGTGGAAACGCTCCCACGAACAAGCTCCAGGGTTTGTTCAGTTTTTAAACTACCGAACTAGACCGACCGCAAGCCCTGACTCTCTGGAACTGTTTTGGGCATGCGACCATGCGTGTGGTTGGTCAAATTGTGACTTCCAGGAAATTCCCTAACCCCTGAAACGATCTGGGTGATTTTTGAATATGTTGGTCACTCAGATAGGGGATGTAATGTTTGTGGGGATTTTGTGTGTTTAAATGTATTTTGGGGTTTTTGTAAAAATGCATGTTTTCTTTGCCAGGAAATGGTTTAATACAGTGCTGACTCAATTATTTCCCAGGCTTAGGGGAGGGATTGACATATTTTGTATGGGACTGTCCTGGACCTGAGAGCCAATGTAATCGTGTGCATGTTTTTACTGTAGTCTACTCTCAGGTCCAGGGGAGAGTGCCCCTTGCATGGGGACCTGCAAGTAAGGCCAGTTGGGGCTGCCATTAAACAGATTTGTTTTACCCTTTGTGAAGTCTAGGCTCATGTTTGGGGGATTGGAGAGCTATATTCACACTGGGGATTGCTATAACCACTATACTTGGCGTACAACGATTGCTCTTGTTCTTATGTGGGGTTTACGGTGTCCGGTGCGATGCTTATGGTATTCAAGGATTACTAGGAAGCAGCGGCTGATGGAGGTACCCAGTCGGGGTGCCAGGCGGTCCTTCACAGCTACCATAAAACAAAATGTGCATTAGGTATTATATTTCAGGTTCCCCGCTAAAAATTAATAAAATAAATTTTACTTGCCCTAATCCAGCGCTGGGCAAAGCACCCGGCACACCCCCTTGTGATGTCACGGGAGCCATGGGGAGTTCCAATCACATGCTTCTCATAAAGAAGATGTCTTTAAATGGATATTTTAACTGGCTCAAAGGACATATGTGCGCTCTTAGCCAGCAAAGGGAGGAGGAAAATGGGAAGGGAAAGGAGGAGGAGGGAGGGAAGTTAAAGGAACACAAACATGTGTTCCTGACCCTATAGTGTTAAAACCACCATCTAGCCACACTGCCCCCCTACCCACCCACCCAAATTCATTAAAATCTTACTTTTGTTCAAATCTGCAGCTGCTGCCTCTGATCTGCCTGCTGACATCATCAGAAGGGATTCTCTGAGCCAATCACAATGCTTTCCCATAGGACTGGCTGAGATTGGGAAGGAGGCAGATAAGAGGCAGAGTCAGCACAAGCCAAACACTGCCCTGGTCAATCAGGTTCTCCTCATAGAGATGCATTGATTCAATGCATCTCTATGAGGAACGTTCAGGGTCTCTGCGCAGAGGGTGCAGATTCTGACTGGCAGTGCTGCACACTGTGCAGCACTGCCCCGGAAGCATCTCCTTTAGCCATATGAGGAGTGGCCAGTGGAGGTATAACTAGGCTGTAATGTAAACACTGCATTTCCTCTGAAAAGACAGTGTTTACTGCAAAAAGCCTGAAGATTATACTCACCAGAAAAAAATACAATAAGCTGTTATTGTCATGGAAACTATAGTGTCCTTTTAAGCTTCCCCCTTACAGGCTCTGCCTGCAAGAGAGATGCCGAGAATGTCTGCCACTAGCGAGCAGTGCACACAAACGACAGATGTAAAATACACACAGAATTGACATTAGGTAGTCCATAACAGAGTTCCAGGCTGTATATATGTCATGTGTGCTGGAACTATAACTAGCCCCCCGACACATAATTGCAAATAACTCTTGATGTGCAGTGTTTCAAGCAGTAACAATGTACATACAGACTCGTCCCACCAGGACCACTTCAAAAGGCAGAAATAGTCAGGGTAGTCTGAGTAACCCTTTAAACTCATACACAAGTAGAAATCCAATTATACTTCTCACGCTGTTAGACTGTCATTTCTATCCTAGCTGTAAAAACAATAAAAAAAATTATTTTTTTTTAAATCACAAGCTGCCATTTTAAGGATGATAACGAATCTACACATAGTGCTTATCAAGTCATTTGCCAAGAAGTTTTTAATTACAACTGTGACGTTGCAATACAAAATAAAATTTAAAAAAGGTGGGTAACGTGGGTAGTATGCGTGGCACTGTGTGATGTTACACTAAACATTTTAGGGCAGTGGTTGCACACATATCAATTTATACCTACTGCAACAGACATTTTGGAGGAGGCAGCCACAAATTCAGGTTTATCATTGTTATATTTGTTTTACCATTTTCCTAGCAGTGCATAAATTCAAGGATGCATTTTTCTAAACAGGTCCACTTTAAAGTACACTTTTTGATATTATCGCAATACTTTCTTTAACCTTTGTATTAATCGTATTATAAAGAACTTAAAGAGTTGATTTATATGTACTTACCACTTTCAGAGCAGAAATAGCTGCAAAGTACGGTGCCCCAGTGTACCTACAAAGGTAAATAGAGCATTAGACATAAGCTAGTTCATCCAACGGACAATTTTTCATCACAGCACACTTTCATATTACTAGGAACACACAAATGGGGAGTATGGAATTTACAGTGTTACAGCTGTCCTATGCAGTCACTTGTACAGTTGTTATAAAACCGTATTGGCAACTCAGATTATAATGTATATTTGGACATTTTCACGAACCAATACACTTTCTATCACCTGCTACTCTTTAATTCAAAGTACATTAGGGCAGGGGAAAGGTTTTACATAACCATTTGCTTGGAGCAAATATTTATGGTCCAATTTTCCCCTCTAATTTCCGTCCCAATTAGAATTTACCACTGTATCTCCAACAGTCTATGTGTGTTGAAGGCTGCACGTGGGAGTTCTACATGTGTGTAAAGGCACTTTGTAGTGTTGTGTGGAGGTTGGGGTGGTTGTGAGTGGCATTTGTTGTTTTGTGGTGTGGCTGTGAGTCTACACAAATACAAAATTACTAGCTTCCCTCTAATGATTTGCACCTGTCAGATATTCAGACCAAACACTCACTCGCAAAGCTTAGTGGTCATAAGGCTAGTCAAAAGATCTTTTCATCTGCCTGTTGGCTCATCTGGCGGCAGGCAGTCCAGCCTCTAGGAGAATGTCTGATTCTCCAAATGGTAGAGCTGACCCTGACAACACACTCCTTATAGAATATTTCTAATTGCGTATATAAAAAACATTTTGAGAAATGAACAAAAATGACTTAAGTAAATTACCATATGTTAATGACTACTCACTCTTGACAGCCTCCAATGATGCCTATCTTGCCATCCTGTCCTTTGTGCTTTTTGGGGGCAAGAGGTGGAATAACATTTCTTACCAGTTGAAAAATGTTCTCCATGTCCTTTGCAGGGCGTGTGGGACGCAGAGAGAATGATCTCTCTAAAACTGAACACAGAATTACAGGATTAATCTCTTCACAGGTTAGAATTTAAGTATCTGACTATGCATTTGACAACTATAAACCAAACTACTTATGTTATTATTTTAGGTGTACATCAGAACAATTAAATCAATAAACAAGACAAACCATTACACTCAATTACCATCCTAGTTAGTGTTTTTTTGTAGTAAGATGTTCTTAAGACATTCTGGTCACAAATAATCTTATATGTAGGAATTTGACATCTCTCAATATAATTTTGTAAACAGCTCACATGATTACCTAACGTGCTCCTTGTGTGGTTTAATCAACACTTTGAATACCTAATGTTTTGTGACTTTTGGTGTTTTTAATGAGAAATGTATTTTTATTCAGATAACACGATATGGAATAAAATTGCACAAACCCCAGCAGCAGGATGATGGTATTCATTACTTTAGCAAACAATTTCATCAATATACAAGGTGCAGAAGCTTGCCTTGTGTAATGCACTTTGTATAATAATTGCATAGGAGAGAGTATCTTTAAAGGGGAACTCTAAGCAGCTACATCTCCGTGTAGGGGTCATGTTACTTAAAGTATGTCAAACCTCTTAGAAGCAGTTTGACAAAAACAGTGGCTCTCCTTGACTTTCAGAGACTGCACCCTCTTCAACCACATTGATATTGCCGTATACACACTTCCACATTATCAATTTTGCCCAACCTGGAGGGCAATGAGGGCTGTGCACAGTACTTAGTCTATCACTGATGACACCACTGGACTACATTAATACAGATAATGCTGAAGCAAAAATTCTGCATTATCAATATGGCCAAAGAACATGTGGTCTTTGTCAAATTGCTTTTAAACGGGAGACTGCGCACATAAACTCTAAGCAAAATAACAATTATACTGAGCTGTAGTGGTCAAGTAGTTTAGTGTGACCAATTTAAAACTTTAGTAAAGTAATCTTTACCACATTAAGACATAAAAGAAAGCTTGACATACAATGCAAAATATCTAAAATGGTTTATTTCAAAGTGTTTACAGCTTCAGGATCTATTACAAATATAGCAGCGTTACACAAGTGTTATAATGAAGATAGGAGAGAAAAAATAACTAAAATTGCATGGACTTTGTAATATTATACCTATAGGAGAGGGAAAAGTAGATGTAGTAGAATTAAAGTGCACTGGTTCTGTATATGGTCGAATATTTGCTCTGTGAGGGGGGCTTGCACGGCTAGGCGCAGCCAGCTGAGAAGCAGAAGAAATCCCGTTGAGCATTTGTGCCAGCATCTGCAACATCTGAAGTTCTCGAGTGTGCTCTGCTTCCCGACGCTTATCCTCAATCTGCAGTCGCTGCTCCTCATACTTGTAAAACTTCTCCTCTGCATCCACACTTTGCTGCAGGAAACGCTCCATCATTTTGTCTAATGTCACATTGCAGTGCCGTTTCTTGGATTTTTTAAGTTGTGGATTTTGCAGTGGATTTGTCTTGGCATTAATGTGTTTATACCCTGAGATGGAGATTAAAAGAGAGGCAGTTTGGTATTAACAAATGCATATATAAAAGTAGGAAATGCCACACCACTCCCCTGAAAATTTTATAAAATTGATGTAGACAGGTTTCCCCCCCCCCCCCAACTGTACAAGTGCTTAAAACTGACAAAAGCAAAAACAAATGTGAGGAATGCTGATTGAGGGAGCTATGTAAGCTAGGCAAACAAATTTGGGAGCCAACTCTATTATAATTTCCACCTCTAGAGTCATAAATTGCATTTCACATTTTGGGAGGTCCCTAAAAAGCAGTAATCTCAGAAATGCAAATAATTAAAACCCAAATTGCAAAAATTTTAGCTGGCTTCTCTGGACTCTAAAACTACACGGCATTTACATAGTAGTAATATTAATGAGATATCAAAATAGACAGCGATGACTTTTATGAAGCTTCCACACTGCAAGTTCATTACCATGTGCAATTCTTCATTGAAGTTATCTTTTTAAGATACCTACTGGTATTTTTTTTTAATGGGAAAACTTTTTTTTTTTTTTTTAAACACACACAAAACTTGCTTAAACCAAGTGCAGCTTTGGCAACCAAGCTTTTGTGAAATATTTGTCCTAGTACTCTGTCAATTATTTGGCAGAACACTGAATGTAATTTAGCCAACAACAGCTGGATTGCCAAATAGTACTGAGCAGTGGACCTGCAGCTAGTGTGTGTTTACCGGTCACTATACACACAGCAGCAGAGAGTTGCCCACCTACCTTCGTTGGGTGGCAGAGGGATGGCAAAGCTGGTTCCATCTTCCACTTTGATGGGGTGCTCCGTGTAACAGGAGGAGCCCTCCCCGGAGTCCTCAGTGAAGTTATCTTGAGAGGACTCTGGTCCTCCTCCTGATGCTTCCTCCTCATCTTCCATCTCCTCCTCCTCCTCCCTCTCCCTGCGGTCTCCGGGCAGGTCTTCCCTGCAGGGGGGCTCGGGGTGGAGCAGTATCATGCCGGCTGTCTCTGGCAGGGCCGGTTCCCCGCTGCTGGCCGGTGCAGGCCGTGCACACAGGATCCGGTCCATCTCATCGTAGTAGCGGCAGATCTTGCGGGCGTGCCCGTTCTTCTTGAAGCCCTCCCGGGCCTGGTAATACTGCCGCTTCAGGCCTTTAATGCGAATCCGGCACTGCTCCGGGGTGCGCTCGAAGCCCAGCTCCCCCAGGCGGGCCGCCACGTCCCGGTACACATGGCTGTTACGGAAATTACCGTCCAGGGCTGACTGCACGTCCGCCTCCCCCCAGATATCCAGCAGGGCGCGGGTCTCCATGTCCGACCACAGGAAGCCCCGGGTGTTGGTGATGAGCCGCCGCATGCACACCGACATCCTGCCGCCACCGGGGAGATCGGTCACTAGGCGGGGAACGGGCTGGACTCGGCCTCTGTCACTCCCCGGCCCCGGGCCAGCACGGAGCGGCTATCATGGCAGGAACACGCACACAGTGCCCGGAGAGCCGCTCACACAGCGCAGCGAGGCGGCGGGCTGCGGCACTTCCCGGACTCATGCATGGCTGCACTGGCAAGGCACACAGGGACCGTGCTGTCCGCGCTGTCACTTATCAATAAAGCTTGGGCGAACCAAAACTAATCATACGCTGGATAAACAACAGCACGCGCGGCCGCGACGTCATCAGTCTGGGTCACTGGCTGCAGGCTGGCGCTTGCAATAAACTTTATTAAATAGCCCATGGTGACCAAGTCCACACAGTGCCCTGTGATAGCATACGGATGGTTTGACCCTGGAGTGCGTTTATAAGACTAATTTCTGAGCTTCTGTTTAGCAGAACAATATTAACAGTTACTGACCTCCGAGCAGCTGCGCCATCTAATGCCAAATCAATGTCAGCTGAGACTGAATGCCACTGGCTGCTACTGTATATAACATGGGACACAGGCACTCAGTGACAGCAGACTGAGCAGCACTGTAGCTAAACAATGCCTGAACTGAGCATTACAGAAAATGGATATCATAGGGTTATTCAAAAACTCCAAATTGTAGCAAACTAAAATCCCAATGACAAAATCGAGGCTGAAATAGTCAAGCTGTAACAATAGATAAATTGCAGAATTTTTAAGATCAGTTATTTTAAACAAACATTAAAAATAAATAAATGTAATGTTTGCATTCCTTAGGTTTAGAGTCTCTCTCCTGTTGATCATCCTGATTCAACAACAAGAAGCATTTGGGGCCTATTGGCACACACAGTAATCGCCAGGCTATACAAGCATTGAAAGCATTCAGCAAAGCTCATCATGAAGACTTTAAAGTATTGAAAGTCTTCACAAGTATGCGCCTCTTATCTGTCTGATTAACTAATGTAAAAATTATAAATATGGTCAGGCACACTTTCATTATAGCCAAAAAATACAAGATACACCTAGAAAAAATAAAAGCAGAGAACATACATAATGTAACACCATTTAGTAAAATAATCACTGCTGTATGAATTGCACTCACAAGATAGAAGTGAATTTCAAGCCCATCGAATTCTCTTAGGGATTCTGGTTGAATGGTTCCTTATTGGTCAGATGTGATTCCTGTGATCTATTGTTCCTATTTTACCATCTGGAAGGAGCGACCAGGTTATCTGATGGGCGTTTTAACTTCTTACTTTTTGTAAGTGTTTCCAATAAATCATATTTTTTACTATATTATACAGTCCTATACTATGTCAAGTTTTTCTTTTGCATATACATCTGACCAATAAGGAACCATTCAACCAGAATCCCTAAGAGAATTCGATGGGCTTGAAATTCACTTCTATCTTGTGAGTGCAATTCATACAGCAGTGATTATTTTACTAAATGGTGTTACACTATGTATGTCTATGACATCACTTGCTGCTGCAGCTTGACACAGGTCAGAGTATTTTGGTGGTTGCCATCTTCAAACGGTCGTATCTTAAAAACTATAACTCCTACAGTGAAGAGCTTTATATTGTGAGAATCACAAGACCCAGACCTACATTTTGATGCATAGTATGTCTCTGAAGTATTAAAATTGAAGGCACAGTCGCAGTTTAGAAATTTCACTTCAAATTTGAGCTTTGCAGAGTGAAGTTTCAATGAATGTCAATGGACGGCGTTGGTTGCAAACAAATGGTAATATTGTGAAAACTATCAGGACTACGGCTTAGCCGTTGACATGTTTAGTGGCAGCAGGGATAGCTGAACGTTTTGATATAAGATTTGTGTAGGTGGGCCTGAAAATAAGGGAGTGGTGGCAGTTTAGAAATCATGTCCTGATTTTTCAGCTTTTGCCAGCTCCCACTCTAGCTTTGCCATTCATTCCTATGGGACAAATTTCGCCACAAGAACGACGATATTCCGTGAACCATTCGGCGAAACGTTCCACAAAGTAATAGCAATCCGATCGGGAACAATCTGCACGTTTTGGTAAATTTTTGTCTATGTAGTGTAAAAGCTGTGGGAGGAGTTAGGGTGGCAAATTTTGCTATAATAATAATAATAATAATATATATGTGAGATAACATTAAGTGGTCTTGCTATGCAAGAACACTTAACTAGAAAAGCTACAATTTCTTGGGAAATTGTGTGAAGTGTTCTTGCCTCCACCAGTAGTCTACAACTGGAGTGGGCGGAGTAACTTATCATTTACATAGCACATTTAATTGCAACGTTGTTGCACAGTTACATTAAACCATACATTTATAAAAACATTAGCAGGTGTTCAAAAGGCCCTGTCTATGACATCACTTGCTGCTGCAGCTTGACACAGGTCAGAGTATTTTGGCGGTTGCCATCTTCAAACGGTCGTATCTTAAAAACTGTAACTCCTACAGTGAAGAGCTTTATATTGTGAGAATCACAAGACCCACACCTACATTTTGATGCATAGTATGTCTCTGAAGTATTAAAATTGAAGGCACAGTCGCAGTTTAGAAATTGCACTTCAAATTTGAGCTTTGCAGAGTGAAGTTACAAAGTAATAGCAATCCGATCGGGAACAATCTGCACGTTTTGGTAAATTTTTGTCTATGTAGTGTAAAAACTGTGGGAGGAGTTAGGGTGGCAAATTTTGCTATAATAAGAATAATAATAATAATTTCAGGGGAAATTGTGTGAAGTGTTTCAGGGGAAATTGTGTGAAGTAATAGCAATCCGATCGGGAACAATCTGCACGTTTTGGTAAATTTTGGTCTATGTAGTGTAAAAACTGTGGGAGGAGTTAGGGTGGCAAATTTGGCTATAATAAGACCCCGACCTACATTTTGATGCATAGTATGTCTCTGAAGTATTAAAATTGAAGGCACAGTCGCAGTTTAGAAATTGCACTTCAAATTTGAGCTTTGCAGAGTGAAGTTACAAAGTAATAGCAATCCGATCGGGAACAATCTGCACGTTTTGGTAAATTTTTGTCTATGTAGTGTATAAACTGTGGGAGGAGTTAGGGTGGCAAATTTTGCTATAATAAGAATAATAATAATAATTTCAGGGGAAATTGTGTGAAGTGTTTCAGGGGAAATTGTGTGAAGTAATAGCAATCCGATCGGGAACAATCTGCACGTTTTGGTAAATTTTGGTCTATGTAGTGTAAAAACTGTGGGAGGAGTTAGGGTGGCAAATTTTGCTATAATAAGAATAAGAACTAGAAAAGCTACAATTTCTGGTGAAATTGTGTGAAGTGTTCTTGCCTCCACCAGAGTCTACAACTGGAGTGGGCGAGTAACTGTTATCATTTTATATAGCACATTTAATTGCAACGTTGTTGCACAGTTACATTAAACCATACATTTATAAAAACATTAGCAGGTGTTCAAAAGGCCCTGTCTATGACATCACTTGCTGCTGCAGCTTGACACAGGTCAGAGTATTTTGGTGGTTGCCATCTTCAAACGGTCGTATCTTAAAAACTATAACTCCTACAGTGAAGAGCTTTATATTGTGAGAATCACAAGACCCAGACCTACATTTTGATGCATAGTATGTCTCTGAAGTATTAAAAATGAAGGCACAGTCGCAGTTTAGAAATTGCACTTCAAATTTGAGCTTTGCAGAGGGAAGTTTCAATGAATGTCAATGGACGGCGTTAGTTGCAAACAAATGATTATATTGTGAAAACTATCAGGACTATGGCTTAGCCGTTGACATGTTTAGTGGCAGCAGGGATAACTGAACGTTTTGATATCAGATTTGTGTAGGTGGGCCTGAAAATGAGGGAGTGGTGGCAGTTTAGAAATCATGTCCTGATTTTTCAGCTTTTGCCAGCTCCCACTCTAGCTCTGCCATTCATTCCTATGGGACAAATTTCGCCACAAGAACGACGATATTCCGTGAACCATTCGGCGAAACGTTCCACAAAGTAATAGCAATCCGATCGGGAACAATCTGCACGTTTTGGTAAATTTTTGTCTATGTAGTGTAAAAAACTGTGGGAGGAGTTAGGGTGGCAAATTTTGCTATAATAAGAATAATAATAATAATAATAATATATATGTGAGATAACATTAAGTGGTCTTGCTATGCAAGAACACTTAACTAGAAAAGCTACAATTTCTGGGGAAATTGTGTGAAGTGTTCTTGCCTCAACCAGTAGTCTAGCACATTCAATTGCAACGTTGTTGCACAGTTACATTACACCATACATTTATAAAAACATTAGCAGGTGTTCAAAAGGCCCTGTCTATGACATCACTTGCTGCCGCAGCTTGACACAGGTCAGAGTATTTTGGTGGTTGCCATCTTCAAACGGTCGTATCTTAAAAACTATAACTCCTACAGCGAAGAGCTTTATATTGTGAGAATCACAAGACCCAGTCCTACATTTTGATGCATAGTATGTCTCTGAAGTGTTAAAAATGAAGGCACAGTCGCAGTTTAGAAATTGCACTTCAAATTTGAGCTTTGCAGAGTGAAGTTTCAATGAATGTCAATGGACGGCGTTGGTTGCAAACAAATGGTCATATTGTGAAAACTATCAGGACTTCGGCTTAGCCGTTTACATGTTTAGTGGCAGCAGGGATAGCTGAACGTTTTGATATAAGATTTGTGTAGGTGGGCTTGGAAATGAGGGAGTGGTGGCAGTTTAGAAATCATGTCCTGATTTTTCAGCTTTTGCCAGCTCCCACTCTAGCTTTGCCATTCATTCCTATGGGACAAATTTCGCCACAAGAACGACGATATTCCGTGAACCATTCGGCAAAACATTCCACAAAAGTAATAGCAATCGATGGGAACAATCTACGCACGTTTTGGTAGAATTTTGGTCTATGTGAGTGTAAAACTGCGGGGAGGGAGTTAGGGTGGCAAATTTTGCTATAATAATAATAATAATAACTAGAAAAGTTACAATTTCAGGGGAAATTGTGTGAGAAGTGTTCTTGCCTCCCACCTGTAGTCTACAATAGGTGGTAGGGTAACTGTTATACTTTATTTAGCACATTTAATTGCAACGTTGTTGCACAGTTACATTAAACCATACATTTATAAAAACATTAGCAGGTGTTCAAAAGGCCCTGTCTATGACATCACTTGCTGCTGCAACCTTGACAGGTCAGAGTATTTTGGTGGTTGCCATCTTCAAGCGGTCATATTTTAAAAACTATAAATCCTACAGCGAAGAGCTTTATATTGTGAGAATCACAAGACCCAGACCTACATTTTGATGCATAGTATGTCTCTGAAGTATTAAAATTGAAGGCACATTCGCAGTTTAGAAATTGCACTTCAAATTTGAGCTTTGCAGAGTGAAGTTTCAATGAGAGTCAATGGACGGCGTTAGTTGCAAACAAATGATTATATTGTGAAAACTATCAGGACTATGGCTTAGCCGTTGACATGTTTAGTGACAGCAGGGATAGCTGAGCGTTTTGATATAAGATTTGTGTAGGTGGGCCTGAAAATGAGGGGAGTGGTGGCAGTTTAGAAATCATGTCCTGATTTTCAGCTTTTGCCAGCTCCACTCTGCTTGCCATTCATTCTATGGGACAAATTTGGCCACAAGAGCAGCGATATTCAGGGAACCATTGGAAATGTTCCACAAAGTAGTAACAATCCGATGGGAACAATCACCACGTTTTGGTAAATTTTGTCTATGTAGTGTAAAAGGCACAATACAGGAGGAGGAGTTAGGGTGTGGCAAATTTTGCTATAATAAGAATAAGAATAATAACTAGAAAAGCTACAATTTCTGGGGAAATTGTGTGAAGTGTTCTTGCCTCCACCAGTAGTCTACAACTGGAGTGGGC